ATCTCTATTCAAAAGATCCCAGCAACAAACCAACCAAGCTACCAAGGAGAAAGCGGAAGCCTATAACTTGATGAAATTGGAAGTCAATAAATGACTAAGATCCTCCAAATCTGGGCAGGAGACTGATGATAGTCCTCAGACAACAGTTGTAAAAATGATAAAAAAACAGTAAACTGTTGTAAGTGACAGACAAATGCTGGAAAACCGAGATTGTTTAAGACAAAAAGTGGCATCTTGTCTATAGCTCCAAATAAGAAGTAGAGGGTCTAACCTGAGAGTCCAAATAAGGGTCCCCCAAGTGATGGAAAGCCAAGGCATTCTGATCCATAAAATGAGGAGGACAAGCCATGGCAGCACCCTCCATCAAATGATCTGCAAATATCCTTGTATGCAATGCAATGTCTGATAAAGGTGGGAGGACCAGATAATCAGACGAACTAGTCTCTCCTAATAAAAAAGGTGAAGATTCATAAGCCACAGGATAAATACTCAAAACATTACAAACATGGCATACTAGTAAAAAATGGTGCAAAAGGCAGGATGTCCATCCAAGGTTCATAGGTAGCTGTCTGAGCAAAGGAAGGTGCTGGAAAAATAGTCTCAATTCTCACTAGTCCCCCCTTGATCTCCCACAAACTCAACCTCAGAGCTAACAGGAGAAAAAATATGACCACATGTAAGGCTCTACTCCTCTGCATACAATGAACTGTATGTCCTCTGCAGAAGACCCCCCCCCCCCCAATGCCTGGGTAATGTTAGAATCATGAGGTTGTAGAGGAGAGGCATCAGGCAACTCTCTTAGATGTGAATGTGAGTATTCATATTCAAAAAAATGTCTCCAAGTTTTTTCTTGTAAAATCAAGAAAATAAACAATAGATTCAAGCCCCACAAAAAAGATTTAAAATAATTCAAAAGAAAACATTGCAAATGTAGTAATAGTGCTGAAGAGAAACCCACATTAAACACATAAGATCATCTTCAGAATTTTTGCCATTGAGAAAAAGTGAGTAAGAAATAATAACGGGGAGCTTATATATGGAGGGCACATTGACATAGGTAGAGAGAGTCACGAGTGAGGTAGAATTCATACCATTGCTTAGACAGGCAAAGAAGAGAACCTTTCTTCACGATACAGCTAAAGTGTGTTTCAGAAGGTGGTGATTTGATACTATGAAGCAAACAAAATCATTAACTATCCTTTTACTTTACGTTTACACAGACATAGGATGACCAATTTTCAGTCTGAAAAATCAGGACAGCCCTTGTCTCTAATTTCAAGATGGTTATGCCATCTTGTGTTATCCAACTCAGCTGCCTTTAAAAAAGGAAGTCTGCTTTCAAGGTATCTGAAAAAAAAATTGCTTTATGGCATTTTGACACTATGATAGGTTAAATATTTTCCATAATAAAAAATATCTGATAGAACAGTCCTTGACATATCTAAACTATCCACCACATATTCATCAACTGCTATAGGTCTGCTACAGTACCACTAATTAAAAAACCTGCACAGACCTGGGTTTCTCACCACTCACAGATGGAACTTCTGAAAGAATCTAGTGGTAGGACAGTATGGGTTACAACAATGAGCGTGTCAAGTAGGCCTATTACATTCATGATTCAATGTGACTGACAGTTTGATGTCTTCATCATAAAATCAGGATATACTTGGACATACTACCAAGAAACAGGACTGTCCTGATAAAATCAGGATGTCTGGTCAGTCTACACAGACAGCTAGTCAAAGCAAATGTCTATAATTAGAAGGAATCCTGAGATTCTTCCCAGGCTTATAAAAATAGATTACAATAGCCTGGTGCCATAAATCATGAAACTCCTTCTGCCACATCCAGTTCAAAAGAATCAGAAGATTGAGAGGCAGTAGAGAGTACAGGTGCTTGCATGCCGAGAAAAGCACTCTCTAAGGGTGTTAAAAATATACCCTGTATACCACTAACTTTTTAGCTATTGTGTTCCAATACTGAAATGTGATAGTATATTTCCTTTCCACCTTTTGAATCTTGTTTCAAGAGACCTTGAAACTGGTGAAGATATACTCAAAGTGAATTTAAACCAAAGTTCCTTCTGGCTTTGACATTGTTCTGCCAGAGATGAGCACAAGCCTTTAGAAAGGCTATGTGACTAGTAAGTAAGAGTGGGATACCCATGAAAAATATCCCAGGCTCCTTTCTAAGCCCTCTGTCCACAATAGAAATATCTGTCAAGGTTTCAAGGATGGTAAGGACAGCCACCTGGACTATATGGTTAATTACTGCCTCCACTCAGTTATTAACAGATGGTAAGTTAATAACAGCAGGATCAAACTATCTCTGAATGTTGAAAGAGAGCCAGTTGGCCTTCTACAGCTTCCATTGCAGTATGCAAGTCAACTGTAGCCATTCTCCCTAAAATGATGGGAAAATTTTCACTGCCAGATGGAATAATGTGCACCTCTTGAGGAAAAAAAAGGAAAGAGAAAAGGAGAAGAAATACAGATCTATGGCATAAAATGTCTAACTCAGAGAATGGAAAAAGGTATACGTTCGAGTATTTACAAAAGTACATTTGTTAGAATAGCAATTGTTATGGTGTAAATGCCTTTTGCTGGCAAAGCCTGATTATAATCAATTATATTTTTCAAGAGTATTAGACTTAGAGTATTTTGAAATACTACATTTTGTATTCAGACCTTTAGGGTACTTATAAGAAGAGTTTATAGTATGTCCCATATATCCATTGCTAACAGTTTTTTTTTTGTTTTTTTAATACCAGAACTTCAAGAATGGCTAGGATACAACAGAGTAAATGTGGTGGTTTGAGCAGTAATTTTTCATTTATTCAGATATTGCCTATTCAAAGCTCATGTAAAGGTGAACAAAGGATTCTAATGCAAAGTCTACAATATTTTGGAATGAATCACAGACCTGTGAATATTTTATAGGTTCTTTTCATTTTTCTAATTGTTCTCATGTTAACTTATATCTGTTAGAAAACTACAGAAATATTCTTCAATAACAAGACATCAGGTAAGCTAAGTTAGGTTTATCAAGAATGATAAGTAGCAGAAAATATTCCAATGACTCGTGGATTTGAGAAAAGCATGACAAATTTCAGGAATTTGGAAAAATAACTATTTTTACACTTAATTCAGGATTGTGGAAAGAGAGTATCAATTTGATAAATTCCCAAACAATTCTGGAAAGTTGAAAAGTTTGCCAGAATAGTTACAGGTGAAGCACAACACAATCAGATTACCATTATCATACATTATTGGAGCTTCAAACCTCTATGAATACAGCATACCAGCTGCAAAGAAGCTTTGCAGATGTGACTAAGATATGAATATTAATGCAAATTATGAGACATCACCAAAGTGGTTTTTATGGCAGGTACCCTGTGTTATGGAGTCTTAGTACACCATGCTTCCAGGCTTAGTCTGGTTTGGTTTGAATTTTGCACAAAGTTACAGGAGGGCTATCTGCACTAGCCTCCCTAATTTAGCAGTGTAAGACTAGAGGGAAGGCAGCTAGTCATCACCACCCACCGCCAGCTCTTTGGCTACTTTTTTACCAATGAATAGTGGGATTGACTGTTATATTATAACACCCCCATGGCTGAAAGGGCGAGCATGTTTGGTGTGACAGGGATTCGAACCCACCGCCCTAATCACCTGGCCATGCCGGGCCTTCCAGGCTTAGTACAAGTAGCACACAACTGAAACTGTATATCCATTCTTATTGCTGTTGACAGGTAATTCCAGATTTTGTACAAAGCCAAACAATCACCAGATATGTGGCAGATGGTAGGAATATGAAATTTATTCTTTTTGTTCAGGAGAAAAAGGTACATTTGAAATAAGTGTTTTGGTATGGGTTGATATCACAATTGGTAGTTGTATAAATCTCTACATCATGTGAATGCTCAAGAATGGACAAAGGTATCACAATGAAAAAGCAATACCATTTATTAACAATATGTATGTGTAGTACACACCCACACTGAGGTAGACTTGCAGACAATGCACTAGAAATAGTTCAACGTATGGAATGACCAGCATCTTCCCAGAGCCTTAACCTGATAGAATATCCACAAAACACATTAAGCTGCACTGCTGACTGGCCACATGCTCCAGGGACTTCAACAACTGGAAAGGGCACTCAAAAAGATATGTCAAAGAATCCTACAGGAACCATTTAATCACTTCATCATTTCCATGCCACGTTTGCACTAGTAGGTGTCAACGTTAAGGAAATATGAAATGTTGGCAATTTTATTTCTCAATATGTTGAATTCCACTACGTAACAATGTTCCCATACCAAATGTTTTAATTTCTGATTACACATGCAGTTTCAACCATAATTTTGTATTCTGTGTATGCATGAAGGTTTGCACCTATTCTGCACCATGTGCAATTATAAATTTCAACTTCACCGCCATGATTGGATTAACTAGTAAAAAAAATGCTAGTGGTCTTTGATATTTACTAGCTAAACAGTAGAGCCCACTGGCATTTTGCCAACTTGCCACAGTTAATTTCAAGCCATATCGTATCCAAATCTTTTACCTTTTGACCACTATGTTTCTTTTTTAATTAAAGTAAAATAATACAGAAATAATTAACTACAACAAAGGTTAACTTTGGTAAATATGATCTGCACTATATGGCTTTATGCCTCAAAATTCAGAAACAACTACAACATATGCCCACAATACATAGATTAGAAAGTTTTCCGGTCCAGTGGTAGTCTTAATTGTCTGGTCAGTACAAAAAACTGTCAGCCTAGTCAGAACCTATTATTTTTACTAGTAAAAAATGAAAACTAAGTCAATATCCAAAGCATGGTAAAAGCATTTACCAACATTCATTTTGTTTTGAAGTAACATTACTAAAATTTCTGTCTCAATCAATAAAAAGAGCATTTGTCATATAAAACCTTCATAAAAACCTCCTGTCATTTATCCAGTAAATTTTAATTCCAATGGGAAAAAAATACTAACCATCTTTTCTTGTTTTTCTTGGACTGGAATAGGATACAGGCTCCAGATCATATCCTGACCTTCCCACATGATATATAGCTTCTTTTAACATTTTTGAAACATCACATGACTCATCTGTTGAATCATCAATGAATGAAGAGTCTGAATCCTCATCTTCTTTATCACTGGAGCCCTTTGAGTCTTCACATGAATCCATTTCACCTCTGATGATAGAATTTTCTCTACTAAAATTACTTTTCTTGATGCTGTTTCTTTTTATCTTCTCCTCCTCCGAGCTTTCAGATGATGTATTTTCTGAACTGGGTGCAATTACAATCTTTCTTTTCTTTTTAGGAGCAAAATCTAAGTCTGAATTGTAATCCAGTTTTTCTACAATTTTCTTACATTTATCTTGTACACACAAATTTTCTTCACTGTGTATGCTAGTGGTATCACTTTCTTGATTTTTGGAATCTTTCACTTCTATCATATCATCATCATCATCTCTTATAACCATAGCCATTCTCCCTTTTTTCACAGACCTAAAATCTTCTGAATCTGAATTATCATCCTGTTTGTAAGGTAAATCTACATATAAAAGTTCCTTTTCCTTTATACCTTCACCTCGCAGAAATAAAGTTTCTTGAGTAATTTTACCAGTAGAAACACTAGTAAGGTTCTGTCCATTTTGGTTAGTGGAACTTTTTAAATGTACACTATCATCATCATCATCACTTTCTATGACTGTAATCTTTCTACATCTTTTCTTAGGTATTAAATCTTCAAAATCAAAAATTGATGCATCATCTTGCTTGCTATGATATTTGTCCATTTTCTTAGGATTGTTACTTTCATATGGTACAAAAAAGCTCAGTTCAGTATTTAGCTGAGAGCAAGTTTAAAAGTTGATGTATAACTTTCACCTTTGTAACAACAATTCTTCAAACATCATTTTCATAAGAAAAATCAAAAATTTTATTTTATTCATCAATGGGTTCAGATTTCACAAATATCATTTTGCATAACAATATCTTGTGTAGCCTCTTTTCTTCACACAAATAAAATGTTGAGACAATAAAGTCACTATTTTCTTTATTACATGATCTAATCTTTTTTTTACCTAAACTTTTTTGTGTACTAGCACCAGTATCAACACAATCAGCTATACAGTCTTCCTTTTTTAAGTTGCTTAGACAGTGTTTTTAAATACACAGTTTATTAGCACTTATATAAATTCCAATCAAAAGTTCTGTTGTACAACTGCTAAGGAACATTTTTTTCCTTTTCTATAATCTCCAGTCTTAGCATGTTCATAAAGGCGTATCATAGTTTTATACACCATTCACCTACAACTTAGTTTGTCACATCATGTACCAATTTGCTTTTACTATATGTTTATACTGATAATTTCAGTCTTCTGTTCCTAAAATAAAAGTTTATAATCTTAAGTCATTTTTAATGTAATTAACTTATTATTCCAGCACTTATGTTGCATAAAGATACTTAAATACTCGTATCATAAAAAAATGGTTCTCCTACAATATTCTTAATTTCAGGTATACATATTTGGTTAAATATTTAATCATAGCACCTTTGCGATTTCTTTTTACTCATCAAATGATCAGAAACATTCCACAAAAAATGAACATTTCTTGTTTGAAAATGTTTTATTAAAATTACTCAAAAAATTTCCTCCTAGCACAAAAACAAACAAGATAAACTAGTTGTCAATGTATTGTATATTACAAGGCATCTCACATGGTTAATAGAATTATAATATCAAAAGAGTTTTAGGTTTAGAAATTAGAGGAAATTTATTAGGCATTATGTTACCAAACTGTTAAAATTGTATATCTTAATAACAATAATAACAGGAAATTGCTTGTGTGTATATGTTTACGTGGGTGTTATCTTTTTGATCATATTTAATATATATAAATAAAATATTCAAAGCACCACCACGTTTGAAACATCATTTGTTTTTATGTATATTTTGGATTTTGGTTGCTTACTAGACTTTTTGCCTCTTTAACACAACTTTTTCAGCCAACCTAATTAAAATATTACATAAAATACATATATCTTTAAAAAAATTGAAATATATATATATATATATATAAACACTGCACTCCACTAAAATTAATTTTAAAAAATGAACATTATTTTTTAAATAATGATTATTTATTATATCAAATCCAAACACAATCAGAACTTGTAGATACTAAAACAATTTAGTAACAAATGAAATTCACAAGTTATTTAGAATTGAATAAGATCCAATGTACTTTCAAACTATATATAATATAACTTTTATAAAATAATCTCTTCTTTCGATCATCACAAAACCAAAGTGGAAAACTACAAAAAGAAAGGTTCTTGTAATAGATTATAGGTACATAAGATATAAATGAAAAATATTCTGAGCATCTTAATGGGCTATGACTTGGATTTGCTAAATGAAACTTGTGTTGATTCATTCTAAACCTTACATTTTCTATTTAGCCAACATAACTTTCACAAAATAATGTTGTAAATTTTAACCTATACAGTTCTTAGAGCTGCAAGATTTTTTAAAAATAATAGTTCCATCTATATTTCTAATATTACATATTAGTATCACAATAATAATCTAGATTATACTTAACAAGTTATAGGATTATCATCTTATGTTTTTATATTGAGTAATATCTTCTCGTCTATTTTCAAGAGTTTGTTTATACCAATGTAAATAGTTCAAGTCTTCAGGTTGTCTATAAAGTATAAGCTCTAATAACATTAATATTACTTACAATTCTTCTTACAGTATTAGTTGGACAGAAGGCGATCAGTCTTGCACTCTACTAATAATATTAGTATTACTATTAACAGTATAATAACACTAATAGCAAGTTAGGTTATGGAAGTATGCACAAATACTCAGCATATCATGTAACTCACAAACATGTATAAAAATACTTTTTCCATCTTGTAGTTTCAAATATTATTTGCACAACCCCTAGAACCTTCTAAATGAATATCAAAAGTTTTGTTTATATTTTATTTTTCACTTTCTCTATGATATTACTAACTGTAGCTAATAGTATTATTATAGTATTGTTGCGTCATCGAGTCACATAACTACTGTGACGCAACGTTTCTAGAACTATCATGTACTTTGGCGAATGTTCTAGTTCTTACTAGATATAGGGTAGGCTGGTATATAAAAGAGGGGAATGTAATGTCTGGGCAGATAGTGTGTAATTGATCTGCAGTCAGAGGTATTATTGACGTTCATTGATATAGCGTTTGTTTTATGCGCGATTGTTGAAGTTGAGTGTTTCGGTAAAGTTATATTCGGAAAGAATAAACCAGTTTTATTAAGTAAAGACTTGTGTCGTTAAAATTTCGTCGGAACAAAGTCACGAAAAAAAATCAATTAACAAACGGAGACGTAACAAATTGGTGTCAGAAGTGGGATAAAAAAAAAATGGAAACGAGAAGCAACAAATCAAACTACAGCATAGCAGACTTGATGGCTGCAATACAAGAGCAGCAAAAGAAACAAGAAGAACGAGAAATTAAACAAGAAGAGAGATTACAACAGTTGTTGGAGGAAAAAGAAAATAAACAAGAAGAACGAGAAAAGAAACAAGAAGAGAGATTACAGCAGTTGTTGGAGGAAAAAGAAAATAAACAAGAAGAGAAATTACAGCAGTTGTTTGAGGTAAAAGAAAAGAAACAAGAAGAGAAATTACAGCAGTGGTTGGAGGAAAAAGAAAAGAAACAAGAGAGATTACAACAGTTGTTGGAGGAAAAAGAAAATAAACAAGAAGAACGAGAAAAGAAACAAAAAGAGAGATTACAGCAGTTGTTGGAGGAAAAAGAAAATAAACAAGAAGAGAAATTACAGC